CTCCAGCCTGGGCAACAAGAGTGAAACTCCGTCTCACTCAAAAAAAAAAAAAAAAATTGGAAAAATGAGTACCTCTTAGGAGGGAAACTGGATTTGATGCGCTGGTAGAAGACACACTTGGTTTTCACCATATACCTTCTTATTTTTGTACCATGTATTTAAAACCTGTTTTTACATTTTTACTGAACTGACTTAGTGGACAATCTTCAATGCACTGGTACTTTGTAACTTGACCTCTACTGTAATGAAAACTCAACTTGGGTAAGGTAGTGAAATTGATTGGGATTTCCTGTCCCTTCCAACTACACATTACTGCATTAGTATATGAAAATTCTCAAGAAGATTTTTTTCCTTTTCTCGCTGATGCACATGCTTCACTCTAGATTGAAAACACACTGGATTCTATTCAATCACATACTGGGGGTGAGAGGAAAAAGCAAAACAATACTCCATCCCAATTCTTCCCTTCTTCCTTTGATTAGTGCAGTGGGTTCTTACCCAATGAGTAGCCTCTGCTTCTTAGATTCCTCTGAAGTATTATTACTCTTCTCACGTAGGAAACCCTACAACACACACAGCCTATCAGAACTGCTACAGGGAATGAACATTTCTCTGGGCTCCAACTGAATGCTTCTAAATAAAATAATGACTGTGTGTCCTTATTTTTGCTGAGTACACATGGCTTTTCCTCACATTACAACCTTCACTTTCTCCCTGCTTCTTCACCTGCACTGTACTTTTGCTTAGCAAGGAAGAGGATGCTCTGAACAGACAGACCCTGATTCTACTTACAAAACTGTGGGAAGAAACTGCAGCTTCCTCCCTCTCTGAGACAACGGTGCCACTGAGACTGCGTGAGATGCGGCGAAAGTTCTCTGCACTGTACTGCTCATCCTCCCCACACTCCCTGCTGAGGCCTCGGCAAGGTGTAGCCTTCAAACACACAGACACATACAGGCAGACACATAATACCAGACTTATGGTTTTCCCACAGACACTATCCTCAGGGTATGGGAAAGAATAGGGGAAGACTCCTGAATTAAATGTATTGGTAAGATAGTGGCCGTGTATCAATTTCCTCTCATTCAAAAGAAGCCCAATCATAGACCTTATTTCCTTCTGATAGCCCCCATATCACCATGCCTCTGCCTTATCATCATCCTTACCAGTCACATCTCTCTACAATTCCTTCCCCAACATACCACCCCAGGCCCAGCACCTTAGCACCTGAGGCTGCTACCTGAGAAGTACGCACTGTTCTGGCTTCATGGAGACCGTGCTCCATTTCTGCTGTTGGAGTCTTTGAGAGACCAGGACCAGGAGCTGAGTGCAACCTCCTTCCCATGCCATCTGCAGAGCCTGAGGAGGAAAACACAAATAGAAGTTGAGGCCATCTCTTCTCCTGGGGCCTAATCACTAAGCCTAACAGCACAAACTCAGGAGTTCTTGTTTCATTAAATAATAAATATGCATCCCTGAATTCAATGGAGGACGTGCTCCTGGAATTTAGAAATAAGAATTTTTAGAATATGGATAGTTTCCTGTCGGCCACAAGGGTCTCAGATCACAGCCCTTGAAAAACTTTGTAGAGAAAGGGCTCTGTGGACAAACAACTGAATGTACCCATCTTGCTTCATTTCATTTTTGTAAACATAATCAGCTTCTGTCAGACTTGGGCTCAAGACCTATAGACAGAGGAAATTATCTAACACAGTGATTTTCTAGAGTATGTGTGGTGACAAAGGAAATTATCATCTCCAGTCTAGTTCAGAATTGAAATGATCATAATAATCATCTATCAAACCTCTTCATTTTATGTAACAGGAAAATGAGTTCCAGGGTCTGACAGTTTAGTAGTTTAACCAGGATTAAATTAAACCCTCTTGATTTTCAGCACAGTACTCTTATCATCTCACCTGGTGACCTCTTTTCTCTGAGCAGGAGATGCTCAGGAATGTTTTACATGTGTAATGCTCTTTTACTTTCCTCTGTGCTTCTCTCAATCACTAAAATTCTAACCAACCACTAAATGCTCACCTCTCTTCAAAATCTTTCCAGTTGTTCACAGTTGCTTTAAACTGGATAGGTGACTCCCAAGAGGCTAACCCCAAGCCAACTAATTAAGTTTTCCATTCTGAAACTGTATATGCCCTTGACCTACATTTGATATATACGTCCGTGGCCAATTCATGTCTTGATTTGATAATTTGATTCTAATATATATATCTGGCTGAAGCTGATATTATTCATGTAAGTACTGTAAGACCAGTTATTTTTAATATTCCTGGGTACTTAAATGCAGTGCTTTCAATACCACCTCAGATTCATCTGGGAACTTTTAAAAATATAGCTTCCTGAATGTTACCAGAGATCTGAAATCAGATTTGTGGTTGGAGCCTGGGAATTTTCATTTTTGAAAGGTTCCCAAAAAGTCTAAGAAAATATCCTTGAACATTATTGGGGGAAATCTGAAATGTTAAAATAGCTTCCTAAAAAGCAAGCTGGTAATCTCCAATAAAATTAAAAATATGTTTATCCTGTTGCCCAACAATTCTAATCCTGGGAAGAGGAAGAAAAAATACCAATTCATAACAACATATGTATAAGAATTTGTTTTTTGGTTTTTGGTTTTTTTTGAGATGAAGTCTCGCTCTGTCACCAGGATGGAGTGCAGTGGCGCCATCTCAGCTCACTGCAACTTCTGCCTCCCAAGTTCAAGCGATTCTCCTGCTTTGGGGTCCTGAATAGCTGGGACTACAGGTGCGCGCCACCACGCCCAGCTAACTTTTATACTTTTAGTAGAGACAGGGTTTCACCATGTTGGTGAGGATGGTCTCGATCTCTTGACCTCATGATCCGACCACTGCAGCCTCCCAAAGTGCTGGGATCACAGGCGTGAGCCACCACACCCAACCAAGAATGTTTTCTGCTGACATAATTTATAGTAGCCAAAAACTAGAAATAAAGTAGTGCTCATCTATACAAGACTAGCTAAATACATTATGGTTTAATACCAAATATTGTCCAGTCACTTAACAAGAATAAACTGAGTTAAATTAGATTATTTAAAGGAATTTTAATGAAATATTGTTGCATTCAAAGAAAAAAAAACTGTAAAATGATCTATAAGCAAAAAAAAAAACCAAACACACTGTTTATGTATATGTAGGTCTACACAGGATTGTATGAACAGAAAAATACAATGTATGCACACTAGATAATCACCTGGGGAGGTAGAGACTGACTGTGAGAGAAGGGACAGGAAAGTTGTCTATAATAAAAACAGCATGTGTGCTATGTTCTTATTTCTATAAAATTATTTCTGTATATATGTGTTTTTTGGGGTTTTCTGAGCGACTCCTCAGATGACTAGGTAGCCAGGTTTAAGAATTATAGCTATGGCTGGGCATGGTAGCTCATGCCTGTAATCCCAGCACTTTGGGAGGCTGAGGCAGTAGGATCGCTTGAGCCCAGGAGTTCAAGACCAGCCTAGGCAACATAGCGAGACACCATCTCTTAAAAAAAAGAAGAAGAAGAAGAAGAAGAAAAAAAAAAGCATTAAAAAGTTGGCCAGGTATGGTGGCTCCACCTGTACTTGGGAGGCGAAGGCAGAAGAATCACTTGAGCCTGGAAGGCTGAAACTGCAGTGAGCCATGTTCATGCCACTGTATTCCAGCCTGGGTGACAGAGTAAGAACTTGTCTCAAAAAAAGAAAAGAAAAGAATTATAGAGTAATGTTTAGAATTGGGTGTTTCTCTAATCAAGCCAAGTGTGATTCCTAGATAAGAAGGTGGCCACTGGAACCTCCTGAAGGGAGTAGATTCTGATTCCTTTAAAAGAAGGCAGGGTGCAGTGGCTAACACCTGTAATCCCAGCACTTTGGGAGGCTGAGACAGGTAGATAACCTGAGGTCAAAGGTTCAAGACCAGCCTGGCCAACATGACAAAATCCTGTCTCTACTAAAAATACAAAACTTAGCCGGATGTGGTGGCACGCACCTGTAATCCCAGATACTTGAGAGGCTGAGGCAGGAGAATCACTTGAACCTGGGAGGCAGAGGTTGCAATAAACTGATATCATACCACTGCACTCCACACTGGGCAACAGAACAAGACTCTGCCAAAAAAAAACAAAAGAATTTAAGCAGAGATAGAGGTGGCCATTTGTAAGGGAATTTCTAGATTCAACAGAAGATAGGGTTAAGATGATGTCTACTCACTGATCAATCATAACAAAAGAAAGACTACCAGACATTACGTATGGTGCCTATATGGTGTACGAAATACAAAAAACTTCCTATTAAATATTCTTATTTTTAAAATTTGTATCTGATTTTAATTGAGCTAGCTCTAAGTACTAAGTTACAAGAAAAATGAGAGCTAGAAGAACATTTAAAAAAAAATCTACTAGGCTATAGTCAGCAAAATACACAATGTGTGAAATGTTATAAGATGATGGCCAAATTTCTTCAACAAATAAATGGAAAGGGAAAAAACAGAGGGTATCGTACTGGGAAAAAAAAAAAAGACTTCAGAGCCTTATCATCAAAATGCAACGTGTGTATCTTGTTTTAATCCTGACTTGAAATAAAACAACTGTGAAAAGACATTAATGGGACTACTGAGAAAACTGGAATTATTAGCTAGGTATTATATTTAAAATTATTGTTAATTTTTTAGGTTTAGTAATATTATAGGTTTGCCTTTTTAAAACAAATTTTTATTTCTAAAAGATACATGCCAAATTATTTATGGATGAAATAATATAATGTCAGAGATTAGTTTTAAAATAATCTAGAGGAGGCTGGGCATGGTAGCTCATGCCTGTAATCCTAGCACTTTGGGATGTCAAGGCTGGTGGACTACTTGAGCTCAGAAGGTAGAGACCAACCTGGGCAACACGGAAAAACCCTGTCTCTACCAAAAAACTCACAAAAATTAGCCAGATGTGGTTGTGTGTGCCTGTGGTCCCAGCTACTCAGGAGGCTGAGGTACAAGGACCTCAGCAGTGGCCCTGATGGCACTGGGCATTCCAGCATGGGCAACAGAGCAAGACGTTGTCTCAAAAAATAAAATAATGTACAGCGGAAAGGACAGTGGCAGGGAAGTGGCTATAACTAAATCAAAACTGGCCATATGTTGATAACTGTGCAAGATAATCACTATGGAAGCTGGTTTTAAGTACCTGGAGGATTATTGTAACATTTACTTTTATTTACTTACTTATTTTTTGAAACAAAGTTTTGCTCTTGTGACCCAGGCTGGAGTGCAGTGGCATGATCTCGGCTCACTGCAACCTCTGCCTCCCAGGTTCAAGTGATTCTCCTGCCTCAGCCTCCCAAGTAGCTGGGATTACAGGAGTCTGCCACGATGCCCAGCTAATTTTCTGTATTTTTAGTAGACACAGGGTTTCACCACCTTGGCCAGGCTGGCCTTGAACTCCTGACCTCAGGTGATCCGTCCGCCTTGGCCTCCCAAAGTGCTGGGATTACAGGTATGAGCCACTGTGCCCAGCCTACTCTTATTCTTTACTTTTGAATATACATGAAATTTCCCATAACAAAAGTTAATTTTTTAGATATCTATAAGATGATGACTGCCCAAGTTCAAAGTACTAAGAAATTCAGACTATAGGTCAAGAGCAATGTTTACTGTAATCCAAGCACTTTGGAGGCCAAGGCGGGCGGATCACCTGAGGTCAGGAGTTCAAGACCAGCCTGACCAACATGGTGAAACCCTGTCTTAAAAAAAAAAAAAAAGAGCAAAAGAGCAGTGTTTATGTAACGCTTTAGGAACTGCAATTATGTCAAAATTAATCTGGTCACAAAAGACCACATATTGTATGATTCCATTTATAAGAAATATCCAGAACAGGCAAAATCTATACAGACAGAAAATAGATCAGTTGTTGCCTGGGGTTGGGAGAAGAGTAGAAGGAGATAAAGAATGATTTGTCAATGGAAACAGAGTTTCTTTTTGGGATGATAATACTTTTTTTTGTTTGTTTTTGGAGACAGAGTCTCACTCTGTCAGGCAGGCTAGAGTGCAGTGATGCCATCTCAGCTCACTACAACCTCTGCCTCCTGGGTTCAATCGATTCTCCCATGTCAAATGAAAACACTTTAAAACTGATTGTGGCGATGAATGGAGAACTTTGATATACTAAAACCCATTGTACTGTACACGTTAAATAGGTGAAATGTATGGTATGTAAACTACATATCAATAAAGCACTATTTTTTTAAGTAATTTGGTGGCCAGGTGTGCTGGCTCATGCCTGTAATCCCATATTGCTTGAGCTCAGGAGTTTGAGACCAGCCTGGGCAACATGGTGAAATCCTGTTTCTACAAAATAAACAA